GCAGCTGGTTAGAACCAGAATGTGGGGTTGCCTCATGAGAGAGAAGCTGAGGCTAGGCACGGCAGCTTTATGCAATCCCCAACTCTTGCACAAGACTGTGATTTTCTCCCTCAGAGTTTGCTCAGGTATTAAACAGGAGTGGCACGGGAGAGAAAGTTACAATCAGTTTGTCCCAAGGGGCAAGCAAGCGATTTTTGTAACCCTCTGATGAGTCTGTTGACATAATTAGTAGGAGTAGTGATACTGAACACGCCTCCGGTATCCAGCAAGAGAAAAAAAAAAACCCATCCTTCATTAGTAGGGTGTCATCAGAGTGCATTTTGGGGGCCAGAGAACACTTCTGAAAGGATGGCGTAGATCTCTTTAGAAAGGATCTGTCCTGATGGAGCTGCTTGACACTACTGGCCTTTCAAAAAGGTTGGATCTCCCCACTTGACAAATTCAGCTCCCCCTTCAATCGTGGATCTCCTGAATGACTCTAAGCCAGCCTTTCTCCCACTCAAGTCCAATCTACTTTCCAGGATTAGAGTTGTGGAAATATCCTTGGGGCAAGTCCTGTGTAACAACACTCTTTGCACACTCCGAGGAAAGGCAGAACCGAAATAAATAATTGCTGGCATGATTAAATTCCTATTCACTTCATTATTTTAAAGTAAAAGCATATTTAACAAAACGTTAAAGTCAAATGGTCAGGGTTTTATAGGCTTCTACAGAGGTTCCATGCATATCACACTATCCCTCTTGGAGGCAATATATTGTTTCAGCAGATGATCATTCAACTCAAATTATGGATTCACATCTGTTTGACCTCAGTGACTCAACCAATCTGGCTGTGCTTTCAAGATTTCTTTCAAGATTCCTGCCCTTTTAGAGAGAGGTATCTAAGCCGGTTTACCCCAATCATTGCAATTTGTATGCATGTCTACTCTACTTCCAGAATTCTAAGCAAGGACAATGCCAGCTGAGGAATTTTGGTGAAGGAGAAGAAAAAGGCTGAAATAGGAGGTGGAGTTAAATGTGTTATAAGTTTGAAATCCTTGCATTGCCACAAAAGATCCCAGTCCAGCCCTTCCCCCTTGAATTCCATTATCCCTTATCTAGTGCCAATTTAACTTTGACCAATTGTTGACTAGATTTTTGTGTATAAGTAGCAATTGCAATAGTAAACTCCTCTATGCTTTGAACTCAATGAATGCATCTAGTTATTTGTGCCTGTTATTAGGGAATTGAAGTCCACACACATAGAAGTCGCCATGGTTGAGAATACATAATATTACATGATGTGAGTTGATTCACTTGGCTTACCTTGTCTTTCCCGCACGCCTAGAGACAGAATGGTAGCACAAAGAATATAAATCCCACCAATGACCCCGGCTGCAATCATATAGGCATTTCTCTGTAAAAGGATAGAAAGAACGGTGGAAAAAAGGAACATTTCAAATGTGATCAATATTTCAGGCAGAATATTTTGTAGAAAAGCATCATTGGATGCTTAAAAGTATTCCTCGACTTACAATGGGGACTGGAATTTTGATCACTATGTGATGCTTAGGCCAGTTTCATGACCATTTTTATGGTGGCTGTTAAGTGAATCATGTAGTCATTAAGTGAATCATACAATCGTTAAATAATTCTGGCTTCCCAGCTTGTTGGAAGTCAACTGATGCTGCAACTGTTGTAAATGCGAGTCAGTTGCCAACACACCCAAATTGCAATCACGTGACACACCACATCATAGCTGCGAGCTGGGTCATAAGTCATTTTTTTAAGTACTATTGTAATTTTGGATTGTGGTTAAACTAATCATCGTAAATCAAGGACTACCTGTCCTTGGCCATGAAGTATTTAAAAAGTTTTATGACCTACTGAAAAGGAGAACAGCCTTCAACTGCCATTATTGCTATATTAACAATAACAATATTGTTAATTTATTTTATTAACAGTAACAGTATAATATTCCTTCCCAAAGCAATTTCAATTTTCATTTTCATTTATTATGGCCTGCAGCCAGCAACCATCCCATAACCTCAAAGACATTCAGTTAAAAGCAGTATCTTATATATAAGGCACCCTGAGAACTTGACCGGGGTTTATTTTAAACATGATTGGTTCCATAGTCACCTGGTTTGGGTTAGTAGCTAAATTAGTAGCTGGTTTGGGTTTTAGCTAAATGATGGTCCCCAGAACCATTAGGAGGTGGGTTTTTTCATCTTGTAAATAGTTTTATAAATTAATCAGTATCAATAATCCCAGAATCCCAACAATTCTTCCAGATAAAATCAAACTCTGATTAGAAGAGACATCCTGGTATTGATGTTACAAGATCTGCAGATTAGTAGCTAAACTAGATACATCGAAACTGTGTCTATAATACAGGCAGTCCTCGACTTACATCAGTTCATTTAATGACTGTTCGAAGTTACAACAGCACTGAAAAAAGCGACTTATGACCATTTTTCATACTTATGACCATTGCAGCATTCCCACGGTCATGTGATTTACATTTGGATGCTTGACAACTGGTTCATACTTGTGACGTTTGCAGTGTCCTGGGACATGTGATCTCCTTTTGCAACTTCTGACAATCAAAGTCAATGGGGAAGCCAGATTCACTTAACAAATGTGGCAAGGGAAGTCGTAAAATGGGGCAAAACTTACTTAACAAATTTCTCACTTAGCAACATAAATTCTGGGCTCAACTGTAACTCGAGGACTGTGTTGTTTCTCCAGTGTCAACAAGATTTTACATCTTGCACACGTAATATTTTAATATATGGGCATAAATTCGGATGCTTTCTTTTCCTTTTGACAGAAATCCCATTTGTTTCAGACATGAAAGACTGACCAACACTTCTAAACTGACCAAAACAACTTTTAATCAGGTCAGCAACACACCCAGTGACTGCATAAGCCTTTAAGTAGGATCCATTTTAACATGGGTTATCTTAGCATGTTGTGCACCTCAAGCCCATTTAATTAGCTCTGGGTTCAACATTGGTGGAAACCCAAAATAAGAGGCTCACATAATAACCAGTTGAAGCATCTTATATGGATGCAGCTTATTAGAACAGCTTTGGCAACTAAGAACCAAAGAAGATTTGATCTTCTCTCTTGGTTTGATCTGTTCCCAACTACCTCTTCGAATGAACAAGAAGTTGGACCACAGCTCTGTCCCATTTTTGTTCCCTAGGAGAAGATACTCTATGGCAGTGATGGCTAACCTTTTGGGGCTCCTGTGCCAAAAATTGTGCGCGTGCTTGCACACACGCGCTTGCGTGCCAGCACCCAGAAGGCAATGTACGTGCCCCCATGCCCCCTACGCATGCGTGCGCAATTCCCACCTACCCACCCACCTCCGCTGACCTCTTACCTGCACTGTGCCTCACAGCCGATTTTTGGCCGATTTGAGGCCTTTTTCGACCTCCCAGAGGCTTGAGGAAGGCTTCTGCAGGCTTTGCAGGCCGAAAACTAGCTCCGTTTCATCACTTCCGGTATTTTTGTAAGAACAGGAAGTGATGAAACGGGGCTAGTTTTCGGCCTGCAAAGCCTGCAGAAGCCCTCCTCCAGCCTCTTAGAGGCTGAAAAAGGCCTCAAACCGGCAGAAAATCAGCTGTGAGGCATGCACATGCGCAGTAAAGTAAGTTTACCTGCAGATCGTGTTCCAGCACAAATGACACTGAGTGCCACCTGTGGCACGCGTGCCATAGGTTCGCCATCATGGCTGTATGGCATTCTACCTCAAAAGGCGGAACATCAGTCTTTTCACTTTGGTTAGCCCAACAAAGCAGCCACAAAAATGAAGATTATCTTTTTCTCAACTCATCCTTCAGCCAAACCCTTTATCACAGTGTTTGTCAACCTCAGCAAGTTTAAGATGGGTGGACTTCAACTCCCAGAAATCCACTCATCTTAAACTTGCCGAGGTTGACAAACACTGCTTTACCGCATTGTAGTGAGAACACGGAATTGTCCGTAAGGGTCCATACCGTATCAGAAAGCGAACCCGTGTCACGGGTGATGTTGACTTCTTCTAGGACCACCGAAGAGTTGTTCATGTTCAAGAAAGGTGGGTCAGGAATACAAGGAATATCTACTCTCCCCACAATCTGTCCTTGGATGGCTGTTCCTAGGACAGTGCCAAGCACTTCTACTGTCATGCCTGTAGAAACAAGGGACAGATAAGATTAGAATGCATAAAACATAGGCCGAGTCCCCTTTCAAAAGTAATGGTAGATGCTGGTTTTAACTCATTGAGCACCTGAATATCATCGTTCACATTTTAAACTCAACCATGCTTTAAGTTAGTTGTGGGTTCATCCAATCCAGTTCATTTATAATACCGCCTCATGAAGCATAATTTATACAGGTCAAGGCTCGGTTCGTAAACACCCCAATGGTTGGCCAACATGCTCAACTGAACCAAAATGAAGATTTTGGTTCATCAACTAGTGAACACAAACTTCAACCAAGCCATCCTGCTAAGCTACAATATCCTTCATTGAGGTGGAGCCAGAATATTATGTGAAGGTAGACCCTAGATTTTGTGGCTTAGAATGATAGGTGAACCTAGTCAAGGTGTTCCAAGCAATATGCATCCACGTGAAATCATCTTGATAGCCATGTAAGTAAGCACCTCTTAAAGATGGATTTCTCAAACATCAAAGAAAATAATTCACGTTATCTCTCATCTCCTAGCTATAAAGTTATATTCGTTCCCAATAAGGGAGAAAATGAGACTTGTGCTATGAATTATGAAACAGGGAAAGAGATAGGATTCCTAAAGTTTAAAGGCTCCCCTCGCACATACGTGCTAGTCGTTTCTGGCTCTAGGGGACAGTGCTCATCTCCGTTACAAAGCTGAAGAGCCAGTGCTGTCTAAAGACGTCTCCGTGGTCATGTGGCCGGTATGACTACATGCCAAAGGAGCACGGAACGCTGTTACCTTCCCACCAAAGTGGTCCCTATTTTTGTACTTGCATTTTTACATGCTTTCAAACTGCTAGGTTGGCAGAAGCTGGGACAAGTAACAGGAGCTCACTCCATTACACAATGCTAGGGATTCGAACCACCAAACTGCCAACCTTCCTGATCGACAAACTCAGTGTCTTAGCCCCTAGTAATTAATTCCTAGTTAGCCTCAAATCCTTTACTTTTGGTTATGTCACTATTGACGGAGATCATGTTTTGACTTGTGGTCAGAAAGTTCCTATGATACAATGAGCTGCTCTTAGCACATCAGATAAGTGGAATGGATTATCAGGATGAAGGGTTCAAGACAGCACATTAAATGCTACTTTAAATGGGCTAATAAGGTATTACAGCTTGGATTTTGCAAGGAGTCAAAAGCTACCCCACTGGAAAACTGGAAATAAGTATTGGAGAATACTACAAGCAGAGTTCTTCCTATCCCTTCCATTTAATCTAAACTACATAAGAAAGCTAAACAGTGGTTGAAGCAAAAATGACTGCAGTCCAACAAGATCAAACTGCCTTTGCCCTTTAGATTTCTTTAGATCACTGGGACAAATATTAAAAACAACCACTGGAAAACAAAGAATGGATAGACTGGAAAATCTTATAATTTCCTAGCATCTTCCTTGGGTTCAATCATACAATTTTATGTATGTTTCTGCAAACACAGACAGACAATCATCAGTGGGCTAATAGATCCCCCATAAAGCCATCTAGGGTGCAAATGTGCAAGCTTACATATGTATTGAGAATAGACTAGAATGATGATAGATAGATAGACAGACAGACAGATAGACAGACATAGATGGATGGGTAAGTGGATGCATGAGTAGATGGATC